ATGGGCACTACCTTGTGTTAATCATGTGACACCGTAAGACGAAGACCAGCAGTAAAAGAAAAAAGTCATTCCCATTTCCCCAACTCATTCACGAAGATCAATTACGGGGTTAGTTTCGGCACTCACTATCTTTTTAGCTTACTTATCGACAATGTTTTAAAAACCAACATCACTAATTGTACAGAGCTAATAAATTTGAGTGTTTATAGTTAAAACTTTTACTTTTAAGAAACTTGGTTACTTTTTTCAAAAAGAAAAGTTGTAAGTTGAAAAAATAGAGATGTCAGGATCACTTCTAGGCATATCATTGAAGCATACAAATAACCAGACTGGAAACTGGCGCATATTGGGATATTCGGTAAATTGAAAATAACGACTGTTTATATTTTGACCACTTTAAGAAAGTTTTGGGATGACAGCTCCGCATTAGTATTTTAACGCACGCTATTCACAATTTTAAAGCACATCGGCTAAAATTTTGAGCACCGGGAATCTTGATGATCACTAGAATATTTAGCCATAAAGCAAAAAATTCCAGTGATCGGTAAGAATATTATGGCCAATTGTACAAAAATGTGGCAATCGTCAGAATTTTGAGGCCAATTGCACAAAAAATTGGCAACCGTCAATTTTTTTTTTAGCAAAATTAATGCAACTATCAGAATTCCGATGAATTACCATAAGATTTGCTCAAGAATTTTTGACTAGCATGCTTCAAAATACTAACTGAAACTATTTTCTTAAGATTTTTTTTTACCGAAGTCAAAATTTAAACGGTAACACCAATCATCCTTCCTTCAGTAAACACACTGATAAATGATGAAAAAATTGTTATGGAGAATAGGAGTTAACTTGAGGCGTGTCAAGGACACTGTCCTTAAGGATATTTCGTCCACACATAATGAATAATGTTAGGCGTATCCCCCAGGATTCAACAAGCTCTTCCCGTTATAAAACTGGAAACAGAACTAGCAGAAAGTTCAAGAAAGAAACCCAGTATATAAAAGGAAGAAGATGATTCAGAAAGTTATGTTAGAAAGTATGTCTTTAGCTCTTCAAAGACCATGTTTATATATGTGTTGCTCCAACAGCTAGGTAATGGCTAGATAACGGCTAGTTTGACTCTATTAAATGTAAAATAATTTACTAACTAATAAGTAGATATAAATAATATTTCAAAGAGAAAAGATTTTTTCAAACCAAGATGAAAAAATCCCCCACATGACTCTATTAATTTTACAACAATCCCCCCACATAACTCAAAAGGGATGTACAAAATAAATCGTAAATAAAGAAAGAAAGAGAGTATGATTTACTGGGTTACAGGTATAATGAAATTTATCTGGTGTCTTATAGACTATGAACCAAATATAGATAAAATAAGATTTAACTTACAGAATAATTGGTGAAGTTGATAACTTATATAAACCAAAAATTCTTGTTATAAGCTAGGGATCTTATTCATCATATTATACCCCCACAGTTTCTGGTGTTATCGCAGTTTTCCGCTAATAGGCCATGCACGCCCTGGTTTTCACGAGTGCTCTAGAAATTTTGCCACAAATTTTATAGGAGCGGCCCCACTCCTACACTACCTACAAAAGGCTATGGATTGCTGGATTAAGAGTTTAATAACTCGACCTTACATTCCTTGCAGTCTTGCACTATATAGACAAACACCATAGGAAGAGACATAATTTAATAGTGCACATTTGATCAACTAATGACTTGTTATTACCTATATGAACCTACTTCATGGGATCTCCAATCACATGGGTTGGGTTACCATCATTGTTGGTACATCTCAAATTGACAAAAGTCTCAACCCCTCGATATTTCACTTATAAGTCAAAGGATCGGCCAAATCCTCTTTTGACTACACATAATATGTATAAAAAAATTTCATTTCTAAACAATTGCCTTATCACATTATGTCTCGAGAGAATATATCTACTCTTTCTCATTGAAAGAACTATTTTCTTACAATGGCTATTGCACCTTGGCAATCACAATTTATCGACACACGTATTGTCGGTTTAATTCCTAGTGAAATACGCGCCAAGAGGTTGCTTAATCAGCCTCATCGCCAGGCAATTTTAATATCATAACACCCACCAAAAGGTGATCACACAACCACTGGCTAGTTTTTTCTCATATGAATCAGAGATTCAATATCGTCACTGTATCCTTTTAATAAAGTAAAAGTTTCACATACAGAATACTAACTCATAATATTTCTCAAATAAGGCACAAAATCAACTCAAATAAAATGAAACCTGACTTCTATACAAGTGCTTTTTGAAACATCTTTCAACATATATAAGAATTTATTTTCTTTTGGTATCACTCGTATTCAAATACCAAGGTAAAATTTTCTAAACATAGAAGAAACTATAACTTCTACAGAAATATCTCAAATTAGTAGGAAACTAGTTATAATACGGAAACTCATAATTCAATAATTTCTTTATCACCCAAATGACTAAGAGATCCAAACAAAATAACGTTTCATAGCCAAAAATAAAATATTTTTGATCTTCAAACACAAGTTTTCGCCACAATAAATCTCAATTTCGTGAGGCTTCATTATAATTTTAATAAATAATTTTTTTAATCTATTTCTTCTTAGAATCGGGCTATATAACTCTGGAAAGATACTTGACCCCACATCTTTAAAAAAATTCAAATAAGGGGATAATGTTTACACAACTCATATGGAGTTTTAAACTCACATAATGAATTTCATTTTATAAATACTTAGCTTCACCCAAAGATTTATCACTAAGATTTATCACATAGACTATGCAACTCTTTAATTTATTTAAACATCTTATTCTTCGTGTGATCTCAAAGAGGCTGAGTACTTCTACTAAAAATATGTCAAACACGACAGTCACATATTTTTTTTTTTAAATTTCAATTATATTTTTGTCATTTAGTCAAAATAAATTTAAACACATTATCTCAGGGTTGTCAAGATTTTCAAAATACATAATCGAGGATCATACCTTTATGAAGAATTTTTATACCGCCAGGTGAAAACTGAAAAAATGATCTTGACAATTCATTAGTGTGTACAATTGTGGACTCCTCATCCACAAAGAATACCAGTCATCTTTTCGCGACAGTGGAACAACAACAGAAACAATTAATACAGCAGGGTAGTAGCATAAATAATAATATTAGTAGTGTTATTCTCCATAACATCGTGAAAATATCCTTAAGATTGTTGAAAATATTATTATGGAAAATAGGAGTTATCCTGAGGCGTGTCAAGGACACTGTCCTTAAGGATATTTCGCCCACACAATAATGAATAAAATTAGGCGTATCCCGCAGGATTCAACAAGCTCTTCCAGTTATAAAACTGGAACAAAGCTAGCAGAAAATTCAAGAAAGAAACCCAGCATATAGAAGGAAGAAGATGATTCAGAAAGTTACGTTAGAAAGTATGTCTTTAGCTCTTCAAAGACCATGTTTATATAGGTGTTGCTCCAACGTTTAGATAACGGCTAGTTAATGGCTAGATAACAACTACTAACGGCTAGTTTGACTTTATTAAATATAAAATAATTTACTAACTAGTAATAAGTAGATGTACATAATGTTTCAAAGAGATTTTTTTTTCAAACCAAGATGCACATTACCTTTTGAGATATCATTAATTTTAGGCGAAATACATAAATGGCCCCTCCAAGTTGTCCACAACGGTCATTTGAACACCTCAACAAACCTATTTATCAAGTAGACACTTCAAGTGTCTCTTAAGTAAATCAAATAGACACCCCGGTATAACATACCAGATGCGTGAGTTACACTTGTCAAATGAGCCAATCAATGAACGACACGTGTAATTTGTAATTAAAATTTAACATAAATTAACCAAAAAAAATAAAATAAATTTAAAATAAAAAAACCCTTCTCCAGGGGGTGTGAAAATTAAGTGGGGTCCGCATACAACCAATTACATCAATAAAATTATACAAGCATTCATTGCAATTTTGCTATTAAAAAAGTAAATTAACTAATTTTTTTTAAGAAACCACTTGGATTTACCTTCAAACCCAAGCATTGACGCCAGAAGTTACTTCCTTGCCTTCAAACCCAAGCTTAAATCTGATAAACATGTTAAAATCTCATATGAAATACCAAAGATCCTAAAACTCCACAAAAGAAAAATGAATGGCCTAGATGAAAGTCCTTTGAAAAGCAAAAAGTAGCATCAACGATATTACTGGAGCAAAAGTAAGCAAAAAATTTCACAGAAATCGCCAGATCTAATCGAATATTCATACAACAACCAAAAAATGGTAGATCTTGTTATGTTCATAGTATAGAATGATGCAAAAAAATGAACGACACGTGTATTTTTTTATAACATTGTAGGCTTATCCTTTGGTAATTTTGTTCTTTTGTAATGGAGCCAAAGGTGATTTAGGGTAGAGGAGAGTGTTGAATGGTGGAGGAGAGAATTGGAGGAGAAGGGGGTGTGAAAATTAAGTGGGGTCCGCATTATTTTAGTAAAAAAAAAAAAAAAACCTAATTTTAGGTTGGCAACTCGCGTCCCAGAGAGTGGATTTGATGCAACGGGGGCTGACATGGTCGAGTGTTTAGTTAATCTTCTTTTGTGAATAAATAAAGGGTCTAATTGAAAATAGGCTCACTTGAGGTGTTCAGCTGGTCGTTGAGGACAATTTGAAGGGGCCGTTTATGTATTTCGCCTTAATTTTACAACAATAAATATACAGTTTTTCTTAGATTATCTTAAAATTTTCTCATTGAAATACTTATACGACTATGTATGGGCGGTCTAGAAAATACACTGTATATATGCATTTTTTTTCTGACAAACTCCCAAAGAATCGTCATTGAAATATCTATACGTGTATATATAGCAGACCCGAAGATCTCGCAAGACAAGAGTACGACATCGTATTTTCGGACTGTGGGGGGGGGGGGGAGGGGGGGGGTAGAACAAGAAGATATTACAGAAAGCAAAAAAGACAAATAAAAAACGTATTAATAATAGCAGCAAATAAAATGGGGTAAAGAGGATAAAATCACGGCCTATTCAATTCCAATGGGATGATAAGCATCGTTGAAGCCGTGATGTAATCTTGGAGATGCCTACTCATTCCCTTTTCCCTTCTTGAGCCCAAACTCATGAAGGTCAAACACAAAAAAATTACAAGAAGCTGAAATCTTGCAGTTTTTTTCAATTATTTAATTCGTCCTATGTTGGATTAAGTTTTGGGTTAATATTTCCCAATCTGTAGTCTCCAATGGAGCCTCGTGTTGGTAATAAGTTCCGGCTTGGCCGGAAAATCGGTAGCGGTTCTTTTGGAGAGATCTATCTCGGTAATATGAACACCTTTCATTCTTTTTCAGGTTTCATTTTCTTTTTGAGGTTAATTTAATTGGTGATTTTGTATACTTTTCAGGGGCTAATGTTCAAACTAATGAAGAGGTTGCAATTAAGTTGGTAAGTGCAAAATTTGATCTTTTTCCTTTCCCAATTCATAATCTATTAGTCCAAAGTCCAAACTTGTTACATAAGTATAGTTCATAGTGTGTACTGTGTAGTATCTGATTTTGTAATTGATAGTATAAAGAGTATGTTTCTGTTACTAAAAGCTTGATAATTAGTTATTATTGTGGATGCACGTTTTGTGTTCAGTTGCTAAATTTTTTTGGAGGAAGGGGGTGGGGGTTAAGCTTAATCTGTTAGAAAGAATGCATTTAATTATATTTAACATGCCTACTTATGTGGGAATGTGATTTTGCCAAGCACATGGAAATCTTTTCTTGATGAAGAGTGATAGTGAGGCTCAGACCCACAACCTCTGCTTGTTCTAATAACGTATTAGTAAATGATTTGAGTAAGCAACCCAAAACCTTAAAGATAATGAGTGGAGTGACTCAAGACCATTATAAACCCCTTGCAAGCCCTTACATAACTGTGTGGGACAATTTATAACTCGATCCATTTGGGTTTCACTTGTGAACCTTAATGTGTGCTTTTCGGATGGGAGAATAGGTTTATTAATGATTGGCTCTTGTACCATGTTTATTGTGTGACCGGCGCAGTTTCTACGCGCATGGCGTGACTCAAGCCCACTTTTGAGTTGCGTGTTAAAGATGTAATTAAGAAAATAAAGTTGTGCCATCTTTAATCGCTATAGTTTTTAGATTAAATAAATGCTCACGCACTCAGCAAACAGTGTTGACCATTTGATCATTTGGTTTATTCTCTGGTTAATATCTACACTGTTGTTACTTAGCCTGCAATATGAGACTGAGCAGTGAATTTGCATGAACTAAGCAAGTTCCGTGGTTTTGAAGAAATGAAAACAGTTCCACTGCTTCACAATGGTCTTTCTGGAGTTTTTGATATAAAACTTGATAGATATTGCATATTAGATTTGTTAAACTGAAGTTGTGCCTGTAACTTGTTGATACTCATGACAATATTGTACACAGCAGTTCTGCTATGCTCGGTCATTCGCGACTTTCCTTCGATTGCTTCACTGAGGAAATGTTCTTTGATTTGCATGATTAAGTTGCTGATTTCTTATTTCTTGTACTCAGGAAAATGTGAAAACAAAGCATCCTCAACTATTATATGAAGCAAAGTTGTATAAAATACTACAAGGAGGAAGTAATTTATCATATTCATGTTGCCTGCTTTTCCTTTTCTCAATACTCTGCTTATTTCTTGTCCTTATCAGTTCGATTTCTTTTTTGATATTGGTAGCTGGAATCCCCAATTTAAAATGGTTTGGAGTTGAAGGAGATTATAATGCCCTTGTGATGGATTTGCTGGGGCCTAGTCTTGAAGATCTCTTCAACTTCTGCAGTAGGAAGCTGTCTTTAAAGACCGTTCTCATGCTCGCAGATCAGATGGTAAGAAGTTTTGCATTTCTTATTTATTCCATTGACGATTTAAAGAACTCTTCTCATCCTTGTCGATTTACAGATTAATCGGGTTGAATTTGTTCATGCCAAATCTTTTCTTCATCGAGATATAAAACCTGACAACTTTCTTATGGGATTAGGAAGACGTGCAAATCAGGTATTGGGATAAAATTTCTTACTTTGCTGCTTATTTCACCTATTGGAGGCATGGTATCTGTTAATTCCTAATTGCCATGGATTAATATAGGTCTATATGATTGATTTTGGGCTGGCTAAGAAGTATAGAGACTCATCAACTCATCAGCATATTCCGTATAGGTCAGCTCCCTTGGAACATTCTATGCGGCTGACTTTGGTTTGCTTAAGAAGATATAGTTCTTGAAATGTGATCTTCATGCCCATGCGATTCCTATATGAGCTTGTGTTCCTAGCTATTAGTGGTCTGTTTGCTCTTTCCATTGAGCAACAGAAAATGGTGATTTCTTTTAGTTTGCGTCATCTTTAAACCCATATGACGTATCTCCTCACCTTCAAATGTATAACCATTGCGAAATAGACAGAGAAGACGAATTGTTTCTGTTTTCCTCTTTTTCTTTTTTGATAAATTGAAAAAGCTTTTGTTCTTATCCCAGACTCCGCATCCAAAATGACCGTCTGAATAAGCATCTTCTACATATGTGGGTATCCGCAGGATATGATACGGGGCCATCTTTCTGTAACTTCAGGACATGTGTTTGACTATATATGTGTTTTTCAATGTTCGACTGTACTGAAAGCATGTTATCTCTTTCTGTTTGGCATAGCCATAATGCAGGGGCGGCTCAAGCACATACGGGGCCTAAAACCGAAGTTTAATATGAGGCCTAAATTTTTAAAAGAAAGTTAAAAGATATGTTTTTATTTGAAGTTTATTCTTCTAACTTTTTGAGATATAAAGTTGTTATTTTTTTTATAATCGATTTTCTCTAATAATTGTTGTTCGATTGATAATATAGCCAACTTATTTAATCTTTCTTGAGATATTGATCTTAGATAAGATTTTACAAAGCAATAGAAGTATAGAACTATTGGAACCTTAAAAGCATTGCTGAACACTTGAACCAGTGAAATCTTGGAGAAAGAAGGTGAGTAATGAATTCTCGGAGAAAGAAGTGAGTAAGAATATCAAAGAGAAACACAAAAAATATGTAGGATTTTCTGAAATATGAAGAGATTAGAAAAAAAGAAAGATTGACTTGGACAAATTAAGGAAGAGAAATTTTTTTAATGAAAGGAGTAAAAAATGGAAAACTAAAAGTTATGAGAACTATTCATTTACACATTTTTAAGTAAGTCAAATTACAATTTTTTTTTATATATCTAAAATATTTCTTTCCTTTATATTAAAAACTATAGTTTTGTATTAAAAATACTAAATATTATTTTTTAAATGCCTACGAACCTATTATTTTTTAAAAATGAGGCTGCCTAAATTTGGGGGCCTAAGGCACAAGCCTAACTCTACATCAGGTTGGAGCTGGCCCTGCCATAATGTATCAAACTTTTCCAGTCTCAAGTACGTAAAAAAAAGAGTGTGGCTATAAAATCTGAGATGACATATTTTAAATGTAAAACATCTTATTAATAATGCCTTAAGTGTAGTTCTTAAATCTTTACTTTATAATAAATACATTAGATAATGTCCAAAATCAGGCCAAAGCTTGGTCAATTTGACCTTATAAGTTATAAACAAAATCAGGTCATCTATTTCGGGATGGAATATGGTCTTCTGTAGATGGGGCTATCAGAATGCATGAAGTTGCAATTTTAGGTTTACTTACTATGATCTCAGTTGGAGAATAGCTATATGCACCTTTCTATTTTTTTCTTCTATTAGTACTTATATTTTAAGCTTACTTCTAGTCATTCTTTTAACTATCCTTTTAATATGATCAAACTGCTTCTTGGTCTGCCTGCCACTACCTGTTAAGAGGCACGAAACCTCTAGAACTTCTTGAATGGGAATGAAGTAGTTTAAACAAGAACTTTTTAGCACTTTGTATTCCCTCCATCCCATCTTATATGGAGGTATTACTACTTGGGAGTCCAACTGTTTTTTTTTAACTATGATTTTCTCAAGCTTTTTTAATTATTAACTATGTTTGACTTATGCTCCCTCCGTTTCAATTTATGTGAACCTATTTCCTTTTTGGTCTGTGCCAAAAAGAATGACCCCTTTCCTTATTTGGAAACAATTTACCTTTATGCAATGATTTATAGCCACACAAAATATATGTGCCTCATTTTATACCACAAGTTCAAAAGTCTTCTCTCTTTTCTTAAACTCCGTGCCCAGTCAAATGGGTTCACATAAATTGAAACAGAGGGAGTAATACTTTTCATCCAGTTTTCAAATATATAAATTTTATTTTTAAAAACTTGATGACTCTATGCCTGAATTCACACCGAAAATGAAGTTCTTTGACCCTCGTACTCCAAACCCCTTCACATAAGAATTGGGATAGAGGGAGTAACTGATTTTTTTAACAAGTTTGCTGATAGGGAAAAAATGCCGACTTCCTTTCTAGTTTTTCTTTAGTTGAAGTGCTAATGTCTTTTTTCACTTACTTCGATTAGGTGGTGAAAAAAGATTTGTCATTCTAGTTTCTATTGACTGGGAATGGTTGAATATGGTAAATGATAAGATGTAATCTTGAACTTTGTAACCTTTTGCAGTACCCTCTTGGTACTGCTTTATCAATGCAACACTTTACCCTTTAAGAAAATGATATGGAACCAGATTTTCTTGATCTTTCCCAGCTGTTTTTATTTTGGTCATTCATTATTTCATTGAATTGAAGGGGAGCCTTGGAGCAACGGTCAAGTTGTCTCCTGTGATCTATAGGTCACGGGTTCGAGTCGTGAATCAGCCACCGATACTTGCATCAGGGTAGGCTGCCTACATTATACCCCCTTGGGTTGCGGCCCTTACCCCGACCCTGCGTGAACGCTGAATGCTTTGTGCACTGCGCTTCTAATAGAAAGAATTGATGGCATCAACAATCTAGTATTGTCATGCTTACTGTAGAGGGTACCATCATACTTACTGTAGAGGAAGTCATCTCTTTGTTTATAAAACATGTGCAATTCACAGAAACTCTAACAGTGAATGTTCTGAATTAGGATTGATCATTCTTATTTTGAGCGCGCGAAGAAGTATATATTTATCTATTGAATAATATAATTAATTTCATTGGATGCTTGTATTCTTAATTAGTGAATTAGCTTAAAGAGAGATCTTCCTCCAGGGCGTGGATGCATGATTTTAATTTTTCTTTTAATGTGATACAGAGAAAACAAAAATTTGACAGGAACTGCTAGATACGCAAGCATGAATACTCATCTTGGCATTGGTAAGCTTTTGTTTTCTCTTACCTACTTGCACCTGTTTGTTTATATGGATTGTTTTTTCTCTATTAAGCATGCTTGCCTCCTCTGAGTTGCCTCTGAACCATATAGAACAAAGTCGAAGGGATGATTTGGAATCGCTGGGTTATGTTTTAATGTACTTCTTAAGAGGAAGGTAAATGTTTCTCCCTCCAGATTTTCTTATATATTTGGTCTTTTGCTCTTCTTTCATGACAGTCTTACATTATGCTTTCAAAAACATGTAGTCTCCCTTGGCAGGGGCTGAAAGCAGGCACTAAGAAACAGAAGTATGAGAAGATCAGTGAGAAGAAAGTATCAACGTCAATAGAGGTAATTTACGCTCCATCAATTTTCATATGCTAGCTATTTTTTTTTTTTTTTAATTCACTAAAATGATAGTAGTGCAAATTTTCCTTTATAGACCTTGTGTAGGGGATATCCTGCAGAGTTTGCATCATATTTTCATTACTGTCGATCACTAAGATTTGATGATAAACCAGATTATGCTTATCTGAAGAGAATTTTCCGTGATCTTTTCATTCGTGAAGGTATTATCATTTCTGCTCTCCATGCCTTACTTTTTCATCTGTACAGAAGATAATACAACTTGTACCTCAATTTCAATGTTCTCAGAATTTGTTCTTCCATTTTTCTTCCCCCCCCTTCCTTTTCCTTCTTCTCTTCTATTTCAGGGTTTCAATTTGATTATATATTTGACTGGACCATTTTGAAATATCAGCAATCACAGCTTGCCAATCCTCCATCTCGCGCTCTTGTGAGTGGCTTAAATAAATTAATTTATGTTGAATTGGCATCAAAATACGAAAATGAAATGATATTTTTGGGACAGGGTGGTACTGCTGGGCCAAGCTCAGGGATGCCTCATGCTCTTGTTAATGTTGAGAGGCAATCAGGTATGCTCCGGCACAAGGCACCCCTCTCCCCCTAACACACCCTCCCTTCCCCTACCCAAAAATAAGAAAAAAATTAGCCCCCCTCACGAAAAAAAAAGGGAAGGAAAACTAAGAGGTTGTTTGGATTGGCTTATTTTAAGTGCTTATTGGCTTTTAAGCACTTTTTTAGTTTGTGTGGTGTTTGGCAATGATAAAAAGTGCTTAAAAGCACTTACTTTTAGGCATAAAAAGCACAAAAATAAGCCAAAAGTTAGGTATTACCAACTTATGGCTTTTGGCGTTTAGCTTAAAAGCTACTTTTTATAAGCCAATCCAAACACCCTCTAAGCAATCATTCTGTGCTAACTGCTGTGGCATAAAGTGTTCAGGAAATTACTTTTAACAGGGAGCTGGTAATTGATCTATTTTTTCTCTTTCCTACTTACTTTATGGAACATGCCATCCTCAGCTCTGTCCGAGCTCTTCTATTAGTATGTATAAAAAAAGGCAGCCCGGTATACAAACCATTCTGCATTCACGTAGGGTCCGGGGTAGGGTCCGGGGAAGGGCTGCACCCCAAGGGGTGTGATGTAGACAGCCTAACCTAAAGCAAGCATTAGTGGCTACTTCCACGACTCGAACCCCTGACCTATAGGTCACACGGAGACAACTTTACGTTGCTCCAAGGCTCCCCTTCTCTAGAAGTATGTGTCTTGTCTCATAAACATAATGCAAAGATAAAATTAGAATCAGTTTGGATTAGTCCATCATATCATTTATTTTTGATGGCATGCCAGCTATCCTGTTTAGGGAAGTATACTACCTCTAAATTTGCTTGTTTCTTATTGTCTGGGAGCTATATATACATGTGACACTTATTATGCAGGTGGAGATGAAGGTCGACCAGCCGGTTGGTCTTCATCAAATCTTACACGTAATAAGAGCACAGGGCTGCATTTCAATTCTGGAAGCTTATTGAAGCAAAAAGGCACAGTTGCTAATGATTTATCCATGGGTAAAGAGGTCCGTCCTCCTCTCTCCCTATTTTTGAACCCTTTGTCCTGTTTCTGTTGGGGTTGGAAAAGCGTAATACTATTGCAAATAAATTCTGTGGCAATTTTACTTATTATAAGTTGATGTGACTGCATTTGCCTTTATCTGGCTGTATAAAGCTAGTTTCTGTAGCAATCCTAATTTATCGAGTACTTCGGCATGAGGATGGATGCATGCAGTTCCCAAAGTATAAGCAAAAATCCTGAAGTTTGCGGGGCAATTTTAATTAACCGAGTGCTTCACCAAGTAGAGGATAAATCCTGCAGTTCCTGAAGGATTAAAATTCCTGAATCACTTCCTCAATTATTTCATCCTGAAAAATCATTTGATGTGTGCAACTCTTTTTGTCCTCTAGGTTTTTCTTTTAAGTTTTGTGTTTTGGGGTGGGGGTGGGTGGGTGGGGGGGTGCACAGTAGACGTGTAAGAGTAAGAAGTGGAATAATTAGAGCATGAAATGTTGTGCTTCTAATGCTCATGTGGGTTCTTTGGAGGTAAAGGAGCAGGAGAGCTTTAAAGCAAAGGAACATGACTTTGTAAAGCTTAGGGCTTATCTATATTTTGCTCAACTTTTGGAGCTCCTGCGAAGTTCCTACAGGGATAGAGGATTGGGTGTCTTTATAGAGAACCATATTTTTGTGTAGGCTTTCTGTTTTGTATACCTTTTATATATTGGGTTTCCCCAACAACACCAGTAAATTATTACTTCCATTAAGAAAAGGGTGAAGTGGAATAAGATTAAAGTCTCCCTTGGCAATCATGAAGAGACAGAGGCGGATGTAGTGCTTTAGTTACGAAGGAAAGAAGAAAGAAGTGGCACAATGGCATTGAACAACCACACCCCCCCGGGGGGGGGGGGGCAGAAAACACAGGAAGTGAGGCGATAAAAATTGGCCCTCCTCTTCAGATATTCACCCTTCTCTATGGATATTGTTTTCTGAATCTCCTTCACGGAGTGATTGACGATTGGCTATAAGTTAGACGGCCAAAAGGGTGGTGTGGTTTGTCTGTATGACAAAGAAAAGGTGGGTGCACAATTAGGGGTTAGCATTATGTTACCTTTATTTCGATTTCTTCTACATATGTGTGCTTGGTCATTGTGACACATGACAGAAATCCTGTATTCATTTGATATTTCTTCAATATAACTGCCAACGGGAGATCAAATAGGTGGCATGCATTAGGAATCAGAATTTAGTACAATTAAGGATTCACAGCTTATACTTTGGGGAATACGCTCAAAACCTACACATGTTTTATGATCTGTAGCTACCGGTAAACGTAACAGAATTTGACTGAGTTTTTGTTTGCAGTTATCCAGTTCTAATTTTTTCCGGTCAAGTGGACCATCAAGGCGTCCAGTTGTCTCTAGCATCCGAGACCCAGTGATTGCTGGGGGTGAACCTGACCTCTCTGGCACTCGGACAAAAGATGCAAGCCCGGGACCATTGCGTAAAGTATCCAGTGTTGCACGGAGGAGTTCACCAGTTGTGTCCTCAGATCACAAGCGCAGCTCCTCTATCAAAAACGCCAACATAAAGAATTTAGAGTCCACCGTCAAGGGAATGGAGGGCTTAAGTTTTCGATGATGAGGGACTGCATTAGTAGCTGTGCTTTGTCTCAGTTCTCTGTTCACTCTAAATTTTGGCACGCCAACTTGGGGAGTAAGTATTCTGATATTAGTTGCTGCCAGGAAGTACCATAAAGCTGAATTAAATTAAAATTTGGGATGTATTTCAAAAGCACAGTTAAGGATATGATGGGGTTGCAGAGCCAAACTCACAGATCCCAGTTTATGCTTGTCCATACAGTTGTATCCACTTTCCATATTCTTTTTCATCTCTATCTCTTGCTTGTTCTTGTTATGCTGTGGTATTCTTGTTGAAGTCATGTTGTGAATTATGAAGGTGGTCATGTATAATCGCGAGAAATCATGTATTTATTTGTTTTAAACATGAGCAAACTGTTCTTTTGTTCAAGCTACTTTATTATCAGTCAATCACTGCATGGTCAGTTTAGGGGTATTAGCCGGTGACTCGGGCAGTTTCCCTCTCGACGAAGCATTGTCGTATTGGTTGATATTGGCCTTTGTATCATATCTGAGACAGTAATTTATTCGAGATGTCCAGGCAACCTTATGTATACAAATATTTTTAGCAAGTTTGCAGCCATTGCTGCTGGTAATAAGTAGCAAGTATAGTGAAACCTGCACATGTTAAGAAAAAAGGATCTGCCTCCTCAAGCGCCAATTTGTTAGCATATTATTACCAGTTGGAACTTCTTACACCAGATATCACCGCGGATTTCTGTTACGTGTAAAGATCCTGTTGTGAACATGGATAAGTTAGATAATGCTTATGGGCCAGTTATTTGGACAAAGGTTGGCCAAGCTATTGGGCCTGGGGCTAAACCACGATATGGCCAAGGAATTAGACAGCCCAACGATACATTTGCTTGGGATTCAGGTTGAGTAGGGAGTATGTGACAAAGGGGATAAAAGTGTGTCATCGGCAGTTTTAGGAATTATGCGAATTGTGATATTGAATGTGTTCTCTCTCATCTTTGCTCTGTATCTCTGATTTCCTCATCCCCTTCTATACCCGTCTCTGTTTCTCACCTCTTTCTTCTTATCAGTTCTTCTATGTCATTTCAATTGCTATTCCTTGTAATTCTGTTTAGTAAGGGCAATACTACAAGTGAGTTTCCTTGTGTGCGAATTGGTTATTTCACGTTTGTTATATTGGTGCTTTCATCCAGAGGTCTCTAATGGTGGACCAAAAAGTACTCAATTCGTGATTCAATTCAGGAAATGAAGGATTCGCTTTCTAAGGATTTTGCCGATATTCGTTTGTTGTTAATGGAGCTAGTGGGGAAAAAGGCGGAAGAAATTCAAAAATAGCCAGATTTACCACTGGTCGTTGAAAAATAGCCAAGTTTCAAAAGTCATCGAAATTTAGCCACTTTATATCCGAGCGAAAACACTGTTCAAAATCTGGAAAAATACGCCCGCAAATTTTACGGGAGTTCCAGGATAACTATGCTGGAACTCCCGCAAATTTTACGGGAGTTCAAGCATAATTATGCTGGAACTCCCGCAAATTTTACGGGAGTTCCAGCAAGTATAATTGTCCAGTATAATATACTGGAGTTTGGAGCACTGGTGCTCCAGTCTCCCGCAAATTTTACAGGAGTTAGCAAAGTATACCGGTCCAGCATAATATGCTGGAGTTCGTACACAAATGCACCAGAACTCCCGTATATTATACTGGACCGGTCCCTGTTGCAGCAAAATAGTGGCTATTTTTTATTGACTTGGTAAACGCTGGCTATTTTTCATTGACCAGTGTGAAAACTGGCTATACCATGATATTTTAAGGAAAAAGGCTACAACGTCCATTCCACCCCGGGATCCAACAATTCGCAGTCCGGAAATACCTGCTCTTCATGACAACCCAATTTCAGTGGAATTAAGACGGTTCCGTGGTGGAAATCCGGAGGCATGGGTTTTAGAGGCGGAGAGGTATTTTGAATTTTACTCCATTGCCGACGAATTTAAACTCTCATTAGCATCATGTTACTTGGATGGCGAAGCTTTAGCATGGTTCCAGTGGCTATATCGGAACAAACAATTCGTTGACTGGAAGCATTTTACGGAGAAACTGAAGCTGCATTATCGCAAATGGATTCCCCCTGCTTCAATAAGGTGTTCAACTGATTTCCAATTTTACTCGAATTGTTCAGAAACATTAGCGCTACCAGAGACCTATGTAAGTCCTCTAACTGCTAAGAGTAATGTTTCCAACTTCTGTGAGTTTGAGTCAATTTTTGAAGATGGAAACTCAGAGGTCATGCATATGTTCGATGAACTGCCTACAAAAGGCTTTCCCAAAGCAATTGAGGAAATTTATTCTTTTACAGCTGCGTGCCACGACACAGATGCAAGTACACATACCTCTCACTTTGCAGCTAATTTGGAAGATAATCACTCACCTAAGATTTTTGACAAAATGTTACATAGCTGCTTTCCCAACGTAATCGTCGAGGCGCAATCAGATGCTCCAATCAACGATGAAGAAGCTAGAGATAGCGATACCCAATGGTTTTCTAAAAGTATTCAACGAGATTTTCTCATGACTAAACAGACTGAACAATCTGCTTTTACAGAGATTTTGCCTATGAAATATGAGGGGATTTTCGAGGCAACAGAGATAAACTCTGATTCAAATGATAGCAAATTAGAGGAGGACCAACAGGTCTGCGCAATGGTGAAGAAAAATTCAAGCGACACTGTAGTTCAGATATTTGACAAATCTCCTCATAGGAAAGAAATTGATTTTTTGGATGATATATCACCATGGATATCCACTGAAGAAGCTGCTGATATTTTTGAAAGTGACGCAAATAAAATGTTTGACAAAGTTATTCAGAGAAACGAAACTGGTACAACGCTCATCACGGAGGTTGTTAGCCACGCCAATCCGGTGTTCTCTCAAGAAATCAGTATGATTGGTCTAGTGAGCGTTAATTCTAATGCAAAAGTTCCAATTCTTGCCATTGAATTTGATATGGGATATGGTTGCTGGAATCAATTGCATATTGAACATCCTAAAATACTTTGCCCTCGACATCGACTTGGGCTTGCCAGTACTTAGCGGAGATGTCTCGTTTGCATCAGTTTCCACATGATGAATTTGGATTAGACTTTTCGTTTGATCCTGGCTCGGGTGCTATTCCTTTAATCAGGGTACAGTCACCTCAGAGGAGGTTAGAGGACCATTTTACACCCTCAAATCCAAGCAGGCAACATTTGACAAAACACGGGGGAGTTTCTAAATATATGTTGTGGTTCCAACATGATATCAATGCCCATATAGCCAATTGGTTTGACACTGGGCAGCGACCTAAGGCTAGTAAGTTCTCTCTAGATTTCTTAGTGATTATTCTGCTGGATAGGTGTGTGTATGGCAAAGTTAGTTGGTTGGACAATGGGAGAGGGATATTCGATGACATGATTTACAGGAACATGCTCACTGTGCTTGAGTCTTTTGTACCACCAACTACTGTTTATAGTAGTTTCCATGAGATACTTCTTGAATCTATGAAGTCTGTCCAGTCAAGTAAGCTAGCGCTTGCACTTACTTTTGATGATGTGAATTCCCCAACTAGAAGAGGAGCTATCAGGCCCTTGCGTTTTGCTTATGTTAGTGCTTCATATGAGCAGATCTGTAGTAATGCCACTCTTCTGCTTGGAGATGATGTGATTTTTGTTGTGCTTGTGTTCAGTGCTAGAATTTTGGAAATGATTTGTGGTCGCTCCTACAATAGAAAGTCTGCCCAACATATTAGAATTGCTTGGATACACCAAAATGGGTCAAAATTGGAAAAGCCCTTTGCTTGTCTACTACCTTTTGACCTTGGGAACCCATATTTTGGCCAGCAGGGGAGAGCTAAAGTTATATCTAAGTCTCCAAAGATCATAACAACCACTACGAATATGTTACAAGGACGCAATCGAGAAGAATGGATGACTTGGGCATTTGGACCCCAGGTCAGTACCAGGCTTGTGTTAGTAAAAGAATGCAATATACTCCTTTGTTTTATCTCACAAGCAGTTTATGTTGAAGATCAACATGTTATTGGAGTATATACACATTTATTCATGCTTCAAGATTTAACTGGTACACTAATAAAGAAAGTGAAAGCAAAGATGATACTAGTGGAACTCATTTGTAGAACAATAACTATTTTGCTATTCATTCCAGTATTTTTGTGGCTTATGAAGTATTCAAAGGAAACGCAGTATATATCTCATCATGCCTTTGTCCAAAATGAAGTGCACTATGCCGTCACCATTGTTGAGCCGGACATGAATAAAGTTTGGTATGGCGCTCTTAATTTTGCTCAAAAGGAGTTGGCATGTGCTTGCCATCTGGTGTACTGCAAGCTTATTGAAATCCATACGACTATAGCCAGTTTACCAAAGGCCGTGAGCCTAGTATTTCTTAACTCGAACTTTGAGGACAAGGTTCTTATTGAGGAGGGGAGTATTGTTGTGAACATGGATAAATTAGATAATGCTTATGGGCCAGTTATTTGGACAAAGGTTGGCCAAGCTATTGGGCCTGGGGCTAAACCACGATATGGCCAAGGAATGAGACTGCCCAATGATACATTTGCTTGGAATCCAGGTTGAGTAGTGAGTATGTGACAAAAGGGATAAAAGTGTGTCATCGGTAGTTTTAGGAATTATGCGAATTGTGATGTTGAATGTGTTCTCTCTCATCTCTGATTTCCTCATCCCCTTCTATACCCGTCTCTGTTTCTCACCTCTTTCTTCTTATCAGTTCTTCTATGTCATTTCAATTGCTATACCTTGTAATTCTGTTTAGTAAGGTCAATACTACAAGTGAGTTTCCTTGTGTGCGAATTGGTTATTTCACGTTTGTTACAGATCCCTTTTTTTCCTTTTTTATTGTTAGATTTTTTCGTTGTCAAAAAATTTGAAATCCAATAAAAAGAAAGTGATGAGATCCTTGTTGAAATTTATTCTCTAAAAAGTTCGGAAGAAAAACTTTTATCCTTTAAATAGAGAAATACAACTTGATTGGTAAAAGTATGAGGGTGTTTAGATAAGCTTGTGATGATAGGCTACAATTACGTATTTTAGTCGCTTATTACACTTTAATTTACTGCACTTTAGTTGAGTTTGCGCTTTAATCGCTAGTGTTTTGCACTAACGGTGTGTTTTATGCCTTGTAGGAGTGATTCCGAGATATATAGATGTTATGGAATGAATTACAGTGATTTGGAGCTTTGAAGTCTGAGTAAAAGCCCAAGGAATTAAGCCGGGATCGTATTCGGGGATCAACGGATGATAAAACAACAAAACGAAGACTCGAGGAGGCATATTGCACACTATCTAGTAAAATAGCCATAACTTTTTGCTCAGAACTCCATTTGGGCTCCACAATATATGGTT